AGAGATAATGGCCTGCTATAGTTCATGATGAGGTGAGATAGTATTTAGCAGAAAACTCATTTTGTAAGGGTTTTAAATAAGGAGCACATAACTGTTAAAAATGCATTTAGTGGATTTTAAACAAAGGCTTTTTTTCTTTTTGTGTGCATGTAAAAATTAAAAAAATCTTATGTTCATAAAAAGAATGATTAGGATGTAATGTGTTAGATCTTCATAAGAACCTAAGATAATTGTATATCAGTATATTTAAATTGAATTTTTGAATTTCCAATAGCTGTAAATAGTTCAGTACATGTATTATGTGTACATCTCAATATTTTGAATTTTCTGATTTTATTCTTTTTTCCTTTTTCAGTTCATCGAAGTAGATATGATTTCATATAACATTCACCTGATATGCTGGTCATGAAGGAGAATACCAAACCTTGAACATCAATGACCCGGTTTCTATTGATGTCAGTCATTCATCGCCATGACAACAAGCAGTGCAAGCTCCTGATGAATTTTTGAAGATGATAAAGCCGTGTGTTTCGCTTCCGTTGCCATGGGTAACCAATCTTCATTAGACATGTCACTGAGATGTGTCTCTATTTCCTCATCTACTTATGTATGAGATGAATTTACCAAAATAATTTGTGAACTGTGTTAACTGTGAGGTACCTTTGACAGGTCTTTTGGCCTTTCTATCTCTAGCTTGTATGAGTGCATTTTTCTGTGTTTCCCTTGCCAGTTGATTATTTTGACTTGACCACATTATATTTTTGAAAGTTATTGTATATTGTAAGTGTGGTACAAGTATGTAATACAATATTTTTTATGACTGGAGTTTTTCTTTTGAATTTTTGCTGAATTACTGGAATTCAATTGCGATTTTTAGTCTGCCAAAGAAAAAAGAATTGTCATACGTGCATTAATTTCTGTAATTAATTATCAATGTGTCTTTTTAATTTCTGTCATTAATAATCAATTAGTTGCCAATTGAACCAAGTTAAAATAATTTTTCCATACCAGTACATTTAGGTTTTAGGTCTTGCAAATTTTCTTTTTACTGGGAGTTTACCAAAGTATTTGGAAGGGAAACCTAACTTTCACTTGCTTACAGCAGAATCATTCCATTTTCTGTCATGGTCTATTGTTAAATGACACACAGGATGTGGGTGTCTCTTTTTATAGTGGTTTACTGAATCTCACTGACTTTTTTTCCTCACACACACACACAAAAGAAATTGAGTGCTTTTTGTAATATTTATTATGTACAGTAATTCTTATTATTGCACTTTTGTTGCAGTGTGTTTATACTATCTAAGATAGTTGTAAATTTTTATTCAAACAGATGCCTGTCATTTTTAACAATGTTGTTAAACACAAGGACTGCTCTCAGTTTAAAATTAGGAATGTCAAAATGTTTACAAACAAGTCATTTATTAACAGATTTTTTAAAAAAGATATTGGTTTATAAAGTGTTAGCTATACCAACCCAGGTTATACAATATAATTTGGGTAGGTATTAAATTTATTCCTTAAAAAAATTTGAATATGAAGGGGGAAAAAATTTAAAATCCAGTGTTCCTGTCTCAAGTAAATTACAAAGGAACTGACAATGTAGGATCTGTTCAACTCTTTATCTTATTACTTTTGTGAGAAGTTTTCCATTTTTAGAGATCGAGATAAAAATTACAAATTGATTACACAGCTAAGAATTTCCCAACCAATTTCGAAATTTCCAACCTTCCTTCAATACTGTAAAGGTAGAAAAACCATTTGTGAATGTTAATTAATTCTATGAAATAATCAAATAAGTTTTGGAATTCCATAGTTAATGATGTAATTAATTAATGGAATATTCATTAAACACCTAGTTTGATACATTTTCTAGTCATTTGAAACTTAAGAATAAATCTTACTGATTTCTGATTTGTCACTTTGAGGGTTGCAACCCAATTAAAAAGACTGAAAGAACAACCTGTGCAAGCACAATCACTGTGATTTTTTAGGCCAAGTAAATTTTCTCTGTATTCTATTTTTAGCAAACAAATTGAATAGAGAGTCAATTTCATGATATACTTCTTGGATAATACCATTTTTTTATGTTTCTGCAAGTTTTCTATCAATGAAATTTTACTGTGTTTCTATTTTAATAAATTATTTAGTTTTACTGTAATCTTACTCTGAAATTCACATTTTTAATCTATCTTATGTTTTTTTTTTCATAACAAAATGTATTTTATGTGGCCTTTTTGACATAGTCTTTGACATACTCTTGAATGATTCATAAACTTGGTAGTTTTTTAACTGTTGAGGTTTGCATCCTAAAAGCAGTGCCAGTTTTCTGCAAAGAAAATTTTTTTATTTTTACTCTGTACCAGTTCATAAGCAAAACACACAAATGTAAAATAATCTTAAAGCATCCATCCTAAAAGATATCTCACCTACATGTTAAAATAGGATCATTTTACCTTATATTATGTAACACATGATGTTGATTGTGATGTATTTTTTGAGCAGTGACTATCTCCATGAGGGGCAGTGTGATTGTGTTGTTATTGTGTTCAGATGCTGCCAACAGCTGAGAGAATAAAAATATAACAAACTGTATTTGAGTGAAATTTTCTTATCACTGTATCCATATTGCTGCAATTATAAAGCAGGTGTGGTTTTCTTATGAAGTTTAGTTGAATAGGTCTTTATGTACAGTAAAACATGTTGAAAGCTAAGTTCCAAAAGTGAACAATTTTTGATAATTTTTAATACCAGTTTGTTTTAAAACCACAGGGAATAAAAATTGCTGTAGGCATACATTCATTACAAGTATGTTCACTACAGCCATGTTTTACTGTACATCTCATTATTTTCTCGTATTTGAATATTCATTATTGATAGAGCTTTTATTGCAACTCTTCACTGGGCTGATTCTAACCTATAATACATGTTCTAGAATGTTATATCTATGATGCAGAAGAGTAGCTTGATATGTGTCCTTTAGTCATAGGCAGTGAGATATTGATATCAAGTGCAAATTGTGTCCTCACTATCACTTTGCTACCCGTGCTTGGAATTAGAGTTGAACTTCAGTATCTCAAACATGGATATCTCGAATACCATGGATATGTCAAAATGATGGGAAGTCCTAACCACATATTTTTTAAGTATTTTACCCTTGATATCTGGAACCCTCGGATATCTCGAAGTTTTTTCTTGGTCCCTTCAAGTTCGAGATAAGGAGGTTTGACTGTAATTTAAAATTTAATGTATTGGTACCAGGCATATCATAAGGGTTGGGTTGGTGGAGATTTTCAGTTTCTTTTTGTAAAGAGAATAGCTTCTAATACTAAACTAGGTCACATGCTGCAGAAATATGATATTTCCTTTTAGATCATTTTAGGATTACCAAACTTTAAACAAGAAGGTGCATTCTACTGTGTAATTTTTCAAACTTACTCTATTTAAATTGCATCTAGAAAAGATTCAACTAGGTTGTACTTTATGAAATGACATTGAGTTTTTGACCAGTAACGAAAGGTTAAAACAAATGAGATTTTTACGGTGTAACAATGCCTTTTCAAAAAGCAAAATTTATATAAACACAATGTATTTGATTTTTGTTTAAAATGCTTTGCTAAATTTGAGCAAACCTACAGCTAACGTTGACATGGACATTTTAAATTTTCCCGAGTTAGTACGCTTCTTTCTCTGATCACTAAGTATTTTTTTCAAACCCATTTACAGAAATATTCAATGATGTGTTCCTTTTATGTATCCACTGACGGCGAAATCATGCATACCGTGGGTACAGTGGAACCTCGGTAATCCAGACGAGGAACAGAACTTAACATTTTTAAATCTACCAATTATAACAAAAATCCGTAATCCGGATGCCTCCCGATTTTACAAGACCCCCGACAACCTTATTATAAAAATTAATGAATATTTACACTTGCAAATGTTTTCTCTTATTGTAACACTTTTTGAGTAATTCGTATACATGTATGTAATCGACGTAATTTCACAGTGACGTCGTGAGTGGTCGACGTTTTCATTCCCTTGAGATTTGAAAAAATACTGAAATCATTTCAAGAGTTTAAAAATTATAATGCGCAAATATTTGTTATAAATCAGTCACAAATGTAATATAAGTACTTGTATCATTTTAAACAAATGCGGGTTGGTACGTGATCAAATCTACCATTCGGCTTTATGGGATCTGATCACGTGACTAACCCGTATTGATAACCCGATAAATGTTTAAAATGATACCTTATATCTTTAACATATTTTTTGATTTTTTTTCCATCAAAGTAACAAATCCCTCTTAAACCTTTACTTTGTGACACAAACATTGGTGTGATTGACTTCACATTTTTTTTTTTTTGGAAACATACAACATTAAACACTGTTGATTCGATGACACTATTTAAATCAAACTGCTAACGTTAGCATTGTCCCTTATAGATTACACTGTTGGCATGGTAAACAAATGAGTTTGTCTCTACATAAATTATTTAAGACTCCTCATTATTCCAAAAGTCTCCGGATTTAATCCCGGATCGCTTCCTCTCTTCCAGATGGTCGGACCTGTTATTCCTTTCCCTATTAAGAGGCTATTCCTGTCGTCTAACAAACACTCATTGTGGTCAACAATGTCTATTTATCTTTGATGCGATGGCTGCTCGCTTCTCGAGTGCTAGCACGCACATGTCGAATAATTTTATTAATTGCTCTTGAGCTTCAATTTAAAATCGTCTTAGGAACATAATTTTGGCATTTTATGGACGGGAAATTGGACAATTTAATGAAATACCAGCAAGTCACTTTATCTGTGGTCGTTTGACACAAACGTGGGTAAATATATATTTACTTCGAGGAAAATAAAGTTGATCAGTTCATCCTATCCCCTAGCTGTGCTGAGGTGTGGCAACAAATAAAAGGTCTCTAACTTTCTTTAACATAGGGAGTTAGGGACATTCTGGGGGGAAAAAAATCTTTAAAATAAATGTTTATTAAATGTAGCATGGACAGTGTGCGCCAAATTACATGCATAATCCTCAAGTAGTATAGATAGTTCAAAGTTAAGTTCATGTCATTCCTTTCTCCGGCCAAAGTTTTTTTCACATATTGAGTAGCTTTAAAATCATCTTTGTCGCAATATTTTTAAAGCATTTTCAGTTTTCAAGTAGTGGATTTATTAAAACCTGTAGGGTTATAGTCCTTGCGCAGAGCTAAGTTGGGAGCGCAATAGCGATTGAATTTTGATACAGTGATATATATACAAACTTCCACAAAAATAAGAACATAATGTAAGCTTGTATGTTTGTAATCGGCGAGGGAGAAAAATGCGACGGATCAGACCACCATTCGAACCCGCGCCCCCTGCACTAGTCAGGTACTCTACCAATTGAACTACACCCTTATATTTACGTCTTAGGGTTGACACGAACGAGAATCGAACCCCGGCCAAGAAGCGAACGCCCTACCACTAGGCTATCGTGACCGGTGCAATGTACTGTGTATTTACTTTATGAATGGGATATATTATCATCAGGTGAGCACCGTAGCCCATGTATTTACTCTATGGGCTTTATTATTATCAGGTGAGCAATAAAGCCCATGGAACTCTTGTATTTAGTTACATTTTGGGCAATGATTCTACAGCAAAACAATTTTTTTCCTCTATCTGTTCACGCTTGCAGGAAATCCCTTTATGTCTAGCAATATATTGGACAAACAGCCAATTTATATCGTTGTGCAGTCAACAGTTTGTGTAAACACTCTTTTAAATCAAACTCCCCCGATTTCAATTTCCTGATAATTAATTTGTATTTTTTACAAAAACCTTGCAGATAAAACATCATTGTTGATCATCGACACCGTTACTGGAAGTAGAAACAAGAAATAATGTGGGATTATCTTGCACAAACATGGAATATCGTTCAATATTATTGACATACACTTATCATAAAAGGATTATCTGTGAAATGTGATTTCGATTTGAATACTGCTCGAAGATGAAATTTGAGTTAATGGAGAAAAAAAACACTAGTAGTTCACTTGGATAGCATATGGGAAAAATAATTGCGTGTAACTGTTATGGCGTGGTTCAAATTAGAGAATGGTGATCCCCCGATTTCGGGGTGTTATTGGTTGAGGTATAATGATCTATGGCTTATGTAACTTTTTGTCTGTTCATTCTTTATCAGGCTAAAAGCAATTTTATACTTTTGAAGTAATATGTTCTGGTACAAAAAGTTAAGGCAAAGATTAAAGTTTTTGAAAGTCAAACTTCGAGGTCTAGCCCATGAGGTCAAAAATCGTAGTACAATTGGAAAGGTATTGCCCAGGCTCTGTACATGTGAAAATCTGGTGCAAAATTTATTTTTTGAAAAGTAGGTCAAACGTAAAGTTCCAGACCATGAAGTCCAGTCATATATCAAAGTTCATTTGGAAAGGTCTTGAAACAGGTACGACATGTAAAAAAAAATCTCTGTTTCTTCATGAGCAAAAGCTACGGCCAAAGTTTGAAAGTAGGTCAAACTTCAAGGTCAATGTCAAACATCATAGTGGTTCTCTGAAAGGTCTTGTCACAGGTAATGAAATATGAAAGCCCTATCTTCTTTCATTTACAGATTATTACCAAAATTAAATGTTTTGAAAAGTAAGTCAAACTTTAAGGTTATGGGGTCAAAAATCATGGCTAATTCTGAAAAAGTCTTCTCAAACGTAATGCACATGTGAAATATGAAAGCCATATAAGTTATGTCCATGTTTAAAGCTTCGTGACGGACAGACGAATGAGATTTAATGTCCCCGCACTTTTGTAAAGCAGAAGACAATTAGATCTATTCTTGCTTTTAATTAAAAATTAGATGATAAAGAATAAAACATAAATTATGCCCAGGTGGATACACTGATAATCTCAACAAAGACTTGTTGGCTAATGTTTAATCTGAAATTTAGTATAATTTGGTTCTTTCACGTTCTTGATATTCCCACAAGCAACAAGTCTTTAAAGAATGTTGTAGTACAAATATACTAGATTCATATTTAAAGTGAGATGGTCCATAACTTTGCGAAAATTTCGATTGAGAAAAAACATTAGACAAATAAGTGTATTTTTCATTCGTGACCAAAATTTCTATGACTAAAAATAGCAAATTTTAAAACCCCGAACGGTGTCACTCCCTTGGCAAAATGAAAAATTCATTCATTAGAATGCAACTTGGCAACTTACTGAGCATGGAAAGCAATCCGTGAGCATGCGGACAATGACGTTTACAGAAATTCATTCAGGTATGAGTAAGATTAAAACAGGTTACACATAATGTAAAGTGTGATCATCTAGCTACAGTAATAAGATGAAAGGTCTAATTTTAATTGGATTGTTCATTTGTCGAAACGTTGATATTCAAGTCTGTAGATGATATTACTTAACGTATTCTAAATCATTATAAAAAGCATCTTTAGCAGTCTTGAAATTGACTTAAAGTTACATTGTGAGTCAATATCATGTGTTTCTTTTAAGATAATTGCATCATAAAGCTAAAGATTTATGAGAAATATGAATAAGGCAAAGTTTTGAGATCTCATCTGCAAGGTTAAAGCAAGAAAAGACTGCAAAATGTAAGTGCCGGAAAAAGAAAAGTTGTATCTATGGCATGGTTGTTATCGTCAATGTCAACAATGTCAAGGTCATGTGTCTTATTTTTAGCGTGAAACTTGTAAACAACATTGAATTGGAGCAATCAAAAGTGAGCAATAAGTTCTGTTCATCTTTTTTGAAGATTATATCAAAATCCTCGGTCATCCAACATTTATATATATGGAATTGACACCACGGTAACTTCTTCAACTTTTCTGCGCATGCGTACCTTAAAGAGTAAGAAGTGAAGCTATATTTTCGTGTTGGGGCAAACTAAAATTATTTTTACTTATATTTTTCTCCATAAAAGTAGATTTCTTAGGTTCTGAAACCTGTAATTTTCTGAAACCTAATACTTTCAAGATTTTGAATAAAATTTGCATGTGTCTACTTTTGTCAATTTTCCCGTTTTTCCGTCACGGTGTCTCTTTAAAAAAATAATAACCGTGCTAGAAAAGATGTAGAACGAGGATAGCATCGAAAGAAAATCCAATACACATTTGACGTATAGCAATACCAAAAGGAATGTTAGACAATGCATGTAATAAAATATCACATCACAAAGGTCATTATGAAAAACGAAATACCCGTCAATTGATAAGCGTTAACACTATGATTAATGGCTAAGTACTGAATACAATAATCCACATTGTACTTTACTTTGTGGGGGACAAAAAGCCACTTCCATTCTTAATTTATACCGAGGGTGTGCAGAAGCGCTCCATTAAGCTTGCATGCCATTAAACCGATTGAGTTGTCAAATTCCGTTAATTTTTTTGAGTTTTATATGAAAATATAACATTAATTTTTTCTAAAACAATATCATTCAGTAATCTCTTTAATCTGTTGTTTTTAAAAGTATTTCAGTGTAGTTGGGAAAATGTTGCAGTGTAGCCGAATCGAATCTTTTTGTATGTATATCGAACGATTTATATGTATATTGAAAAGTATACGATGCAGTTACAGCGATAAAGAATTTCAATGAAAATTAAATCTATCTTTCTGTTTATTTAATTATTTATTTATTTTGGTTCATTATGCCAATGAATCAGAGTTTTCCTTAAGGAAATTAAAAAATGCAACGTCTTGAAGTGATTCAACGGAAACAAAAATGTGATATATTGCACACCCCATCTTATATAACACAAGATACCAATAATATTGAAGGGTGGAGAGGGGGCATAGAGTGTGTGTCCCTCTTTTGTCGCCAATATATAAATTAAATGCAAGCAGTGGACGAGAGGATTGCAAAAATTCTTAAGAACAGTTGAACATTTACCTAGACTTCATTTGTATACAACAAAAAACATTTACAGTCAAGTATGAACCAGTGAAAAATATAATTATCTAGTTTTATACGCTGGAAACGAATAATATACAGTGTGTGTTCTCGGTTGATACCCACAAGGCACATTACGTACCCTCTTTACAAACGAATTTATTCACCTCTGAATAGAGGAACAAAATAGATAAACAGTTTGTTTCGACACCAACGCAAAATATTACAGATCATGTATTCTAAAAGCTTTATGCAGTGTTATAATCAACTCAATGATAATATTGGTTTTTAACCCCACCCCCACCCCCCACCTCCGAATTTTGCAATAGAAAACAAAGTTACTGTACGTGTATATAAATTAACATCCTCTCAAGCCGCGGTCCGGAGTCCGCACATAGCTCTCTCAGAATGGGAGATGATCGTACATTTTGGCCATTGTTTGCGACAATATTAACGAATTCAAAATTTAGCGCAATTGACTTGATGTGGAGTTGTTGGCGTAACCATGTATTAGCGCTACAGATGTCCGCACTGTGTATTGTAATCAACGATATTCATGAATTAGCGCATGCATATTTGCCCCAAATTAATTGTACATACAGTAATTTAATATATAATTTTGCCAGTAAAAAACTAAACAATAAACAAAAAGCTAAATCACGGTAATTACGTCTTATGACTTTGTTGTTTTTTGTTTGTTTGTGTGTGTGTGTGTGTGTGTGTGTGTGTGTATAAACTCACTGAGTACGGGAAAAAAATTCTCAAACAAAGCCGTGGACATTTTCCTAAAAAATATAAAGTACATGTTCATTTAAGGTACTGAAATCGTAAAAGGTGTGCCAATCTTTAGAATACAAAAGCAAATTTTCCTTTTATTTTTTTTTTCATATTTCATTTAATGGCAACGGAATGAAAAATTCAAATACCAGTATCCCCCTGAAAATGATACAAAATTGAAACAATAAAAGTGCCAGCTATGTCATAATACCCTATTCATGTTCGTGTTTGATTTCAGTTCAAGTGTTCTGAATAAAACAAAAACAAAAACCATTTGATATATGATACAGAAATGCCATCATATCTCGCATTATAAAGCCGAACAAAAATCGAAAATGGTACAAAATAGCTAAATGTGTTCTTTTTAATTGATGTAAATTGAAAATTTAATCCAATATTATGTTCACCATTACACGAAGAAGCTTGCAAAGCAATGGTACAAGTGATAATTCCAATATGGGAACAGCATTATCTTAAATTCTAATATCGGATTAACTATTGGATCGATAACTAATTTTTACGTGTCATTCAGTATAAATTCCAGAAACCTTTCCGATTTCCGCAGTTTTCTCAATGGATACCGTCTATTTTGCCGCGTTAATACCACTTGTCTTTTCAATCCATCCTGCATCCTCTCTCCGCGATTTTAGGTACAAAGTTGATCTTGACGCTGAAAGAAACTTGGTTTTAAGATGGGGAATAGACTATGATTCGCAAACAATTTATTTTGAGTTGAGCGGTTCGATTTTAAGGCACAACTGGTTGGCGTTCGGATTTTCGAACTATGGCGATGTGATAGATGCGGATTTGACCATCTTTGAAGTCCACTCTAACAAAGTACACATGAAGGTAAGGTTGAAAAACATGCACATAGATATCGGGTGTAAATAGCAAAGTGTTGTTCATATAAACATAATGAATAGATCTATATATAAAACAAATATCACGAAAATTCAATAAAAGCCCTTTCTATTTCTAAAATATCTTTGTCATACATTTGAACTTTAAAGTCGCGTTTTGGGTGCATCTGTAATTAAAAATCAGCTACCCACTGAACCTGAAAATAAATAAATATTTGTGTATATACCTATAATTAAATATTCAGTTGCAAGTTTTATTTTTTAGGATTTTCAGAATGTTATAACGTGATAAATAAATTCTATATATATTTATAAGGTTGATTGCAAAAAGGATGAAATTTGAACTTCATAGGAAGTCTACAATGGCTTCATATTTTAGAGATCATTCCATGTGTGCATCATTTACAATCAAAATAATTCTTCTTATTTATTTATTTATCTACTATTTATTTAATTTATTTATTTTATTTTATTTTATATTTTGGTTTGTAGCATGTCTTTAATCCACTTGTAAAATATTTCATGAAGCAGGTCGTGATATTAAAATCGATTTTTTTTTTTCAAAAAGTAAAATAAAAAAAGTTACTTCTACAGGTCATCAAATTGCAAAGTCGTGTTTCCTTTTTTCTACCTTTCTCAACATTTCAGGCGAAGTACAGAGGGTTAGTTTAATTCAGATACCTTGTTATACAGATTATACCCCTAATTTAGAAAACTTAACGCTGCTGCTGTTTTACACTTTCACGGATCATTGTTATTTATTACCGTTTAAACAGGATTGTTGGACAGATAGAAATGCAATTTTACGGATGGATTATCGGCAAAACTACGAGTTAACCACTGGAGAATGGAAAAACAACAAATTATTTCTCAGATTTCAGAGAAAGTTTGAAACATGCGACCCCAATGACTACACTCTTGATGTGAGTAAATTATGGTGTCTTTCTGTTTTAAAGTTTCTTTCCAATTTCTACTGAAAAACAAGATATAAACCCATTTGTCAAATCAGATTTTATAGATTTTGAAGAGTACTATCAAGCAATGGACAAGCGAGTTAATAAAACATTGTCTGATATAAAAAGATAGACATCTGAAAAGTTAAGGCAAAAAAGTTTTTGTTGTCCGAATCAATAATTAATACACAAAAAACGCACATTGTACATGGAATGTTAAGTTATTAGTAGCCTATTTGAAATGTTTCTTTTTATGAATAAAAAAAAGAATTGTATGCAGAATTTAGATGAAATAGAAATAATTCCTCATCGTCGGAATAAGTGGAGAATATAGCCCTCAGTCTCGAGATTATGTTGGCAAATAAAAACAGAAGAGTAATACGTACCATTTACTTAAAACCAAAAGTCTCTGACGAGACTGTAGCTCTATCTCGAGGGAGAAGGGTTGCTAATTTTATTCACTAGATTATTAGTATTCTTAGTTCGAAAAATTGACATTCCAATATGACCTTGGAGATACTTTTATCAGACAGGCACCACTCATATTATTTTCGGTGTGGGGAATGGTATTCCGAGGTTTGGATATAGGCTTCCATCTTCTGTGAAGTTTGGTCTACAAAGAGTCCAGCTCCTGAAACCAGATTTACCGGATCCGAATATCCCCCCGGATACCTGGTCATTCGACATCGTTAACCCAAAGGTGAGTTTTGGTTTATGTCGTGCATGTTTTCAAACTACATGTACATGAACATACATATTTGAGCAAATGTAGTAGAATCAGACGTAATTCAAAATAACCCATCGTCGGATACCCACGGGTGATCTCGTCTTTTACTCATCACCCGTGGGCAAACTCGCCGAAAAATCGTCGTATGTAATTAACATGCGCGAGTTATTTGATTGGCTGCACTACAAAGGCAAATCAACAAATTAAAGTTTACGTTAGGTATATGTTTGGCAAAGACAAAAACTTTTCCGTAGTTAACACACGGATTGCAAATATAAATCCAATCACCGGTGCATTTCGCAGTTTGAGAAAGGTACTTCCATATAATTTCTTACTGGCATTTGTCAGATGTAAGTGACCTGTACGATTTGTCTTTAATCGTTTTGATACAAAATTTGGACCTTTAGATTTTTGTTTGTTTTTTAACGTCCCTCTCGAGAATTTTTCACTCATATGGAGACGCCACCACTTGCCGGTAGAGAGCTGCAAGTTTTGACCTATATACTAGGCACTCAGGGCCATTGAGTAGTGAGGGACCTTTTTCGTGCCAGCATGTACTGCGACACAGGGCCTCGATTAATAGGTCTCATCCGAAGGACCGGTCTCCACGTCCCACATTGGGTTTCGAACCCGCGACGTAAGGATTAACTCCTTGCTCTGCGACTCTAAAGCAGACGCTCTACCACTGCGCCACGCGGGCGATTGCACCTTTAGATACTAAGCATAAATTGCAAACTAATGAACGTATTTTCAAAATTGAAAATTTCCAATATTCTGATCGGTTGTCTTTAATCAACAAACTAGCATTTCTGCGAGTTTGCACACGGGTGATGAGTAAAAAACTAAGCAAATAACCATACAGTCCTTCAGAAAGGTAACATTCATAAGTAAAACTAAGTGGAACATATACTGTGCATTGGAAGCATGCGTGATCTAAATTGCTATCGGAAAGAAAGAAATTTTGCTTGTTAAAAAAGTGATAGAATTTAGATATGGACTTGATAAAACTAGAATATTTAAGGAGGAAGTGTCTAAGTAATACATGTAGTATCAAGTGAATTAAAAAAAAAGTTCAGATTTCAAATTGCAGGGTATTGTATAGACCTGATATCAGTAAGTATGCAGTCGGGGAATAAAAAATCAAGATAAACGTACTCCGTAAGACCGATTACTAAGATATAATCCAGTAAGTATTTAACAGAACCTGGACAAAGCAAAGATAATCTACAAGGAGGGTAAGTATTAGAAACTCTAGATATTCCGTAGACAGTAAAAATATTCGTTTTAGTTGGAGAAAAAGGGAAACAATAGGTGCATGTATTACAATGAAAAGGCTGAAGATAACGAACAGTGATCAATCTAAAAAAAAAATATACAAACAATACAAATCTGTGAACAGGGCACATACTCGGAAATTCCAGAGATGGGATCATGTGCCTAGGAGGAGTAAGCATCCCTTGTACCGGTCACACTCGCCTTGAACCCTATGTATTGATCAGGTACACGGAACATTCCATAGTCAAATTCAGTATAACAACAAAGGCCTAACAAAAGTTCTATTTGCTAACAAAGCCATTATAACGACCATAGAACTTACGAAATGTTGACTTTAAACGATGTTGTTGAAATCCCTGTAACATAAACTTATCTGTCAGTAGCCTGCCTCGGATTAAAAAATTGATCGTACTCAGAGCATGCTCTTGAGTATCGAATAGATTGGGAGATGTTAACACCATATGCAGGTGATAACGGAATATTACTACATACATAAGGAAAATGTGACGATGGAAAAGCTGAAGTCATCTCGTTTGTCACACAATTTAATTGTTAGCTGGCCCTTTTCATCTATAGTTGGTAAAACATTCAAATATACAACAAATGTGGCAGACTCTGCGGTATCTTTATTTCGAGTTCACTGAGATATAACGAGTCGACATAATTATGAAGAATCAAACAACAAGATATCAAATAAATATTTGAAACAGAAAACAATTAATTTTTAAACTTTGCGTTTACCATTATTAATATCAAGTCTGTCATTAAATATATGTATAAGAATCAGGAAATTCACGCCGTCCTTGCCATCAGGTTTTTGTCAAACCAGAGTTTGAACAAAACGTCTACCAGGTGAAATAAATAAGTGAAAAGCATTGGCTATAATACAATGTCTAATATTTTAAACAGTCTCAATTTTAAAAAAAAAAAGTTTTTGAGAAAGTTTCACGAACTGTAGAATTTAAATCACAGATGTTTAAATTTTGAATTTAGAAGAGTATGCACTTCAAAGCATAAAATAGAGAGCGAAAATATTTTTTAACCTATATGTTGATAGCTGGCGTTGATTTCATTATCAAATTTGTGAATGAGACTGAAGAGTACAAAAATGGTAACTTATTGGTAAAAAGAACAATTTATTAATTCATCTCGCATTTGTTTGCCCTTTACTGGCCTTTAGAATTTGACATTTAAATTGCTTGGGGAATACTGTATTTGTTTGGGTTTTTTTAACAATTGAGAACTCATTATATATTTAAATTTACTCACCAGATCACCATTCCAGATCGGGAAACAACCTACTGGTGGTACGTAACCAAACTTCCGGAACTCTATAGAAAGCACCATATCATAAAGGTATGATATGAGAGAGAGAGAGAGAGAGAGAGATGGGGGTTGGTGCTATTGGTACATTTAAAAAAATATTTTTCTAAGTTACCAAGATAAATGCATGCGTATGGTACAACCATTTAAGATACAGTATAAGTACCAAAAATTTCTTTTAACAATCTTCTATTTTACACAGTATGAAGGCATCATTACAGAGGGAAACGCAGAATTTGTTCACCATATCGAAGTTTTTCACTGTCAAGTGGTTCCCCATGTGACGCTGACGTTATACAATGGGCCGGGCATGGCTGAGGGCAAACCCCCAGAACTAACTGCATGTCGAGAAGTTATTGGAGCCTGGGCAATGGGGGCATCGGTAGGTACACATATGGGTTTTTTTTCTTGACAGTTCAGCAAGCTGAAAATATATCTTGTATTTTTTTTCTGTTGATAAATATTTTGGAAAAAAATAATTAAAGCTTCAAGATCTATATATCTAAAACAAAAACACACCTATATTTGAAAGAGAGAAATAAAACAATATTCATGCCGGTCAATTCCAGCTTGTAACTTGGATATTATGGGTATTTTGAATATGTATTGGACTTTAATAGGCCATGTATCTGCCCAATGAGGCAGGGACAGCTATTGGTGGCACACACATGTCACAGTACGTCTTATTGGAGGTACACCTGAATAATCCAAGTCTGAAAAGGGGTAAGAACAAGTTCTATTGTGTTAAACTAATAGTTAATAATGAACCATGGTTGATCCGAAAAGTTTTGTGTTCATTCCATGTTTACAAGTTTCAATTAAAACCATCACAGAACTATGAAATGATTTTTAGACACCCCCACCCGAAAAAAATCTTTTCACAAGTGCAAGTCTTATAGGCGCCGTGTTGCAGACATTTTCTTCGTTTATATTAACTGAAACTTTTGGAAGTAAAACTGTATATTTTAAAAAATATCACAAATTTAAAGTAATTCAATTTTACTTTTAAAACAGAAACTCAAATTGTGTACTTATTGTAAAATACGTCTATTTGATAGGGGTTATAGATTCTTCTGGAATAAGGTTTCATGTCACAAAACATCTGAGGCGGTACGACTCCGGGATCATGGAGTTGGGCCTAGAGTACACCGATAAAATGGCGATCCCTCCTGGTCAGGAGATGTTTGAGCTGCCGGGATATTGCACAAAAGACTGCACTGACATAGTATGTAAAGATGTACAATGATCCCAAGTAATTTGAGAGTTACTGTTCGTTAACTCCATATATCATTACAGTAAAAACGTTTATAGAGAAGACAAATAAAACGAAAACCTACAAACAAGAGTTCAAAATAATTAATGAAAAAGATAAAGCATGTTGGTTGTCCTGAAAGCAGCGGTTTGCTTCTTGTTTAAATACTTTCAAATCCCCATGGTTGGGCATATACTTCAAATACGTTGGAATCAGGGACAGTTTGGGTTGACATTTTTAAAAGGGAGTTAAGTATTGGTCTTAGAGGTACTTTATTGCTCTCAGATTTTAGGATATTTCCTAAATATTTGAGTGAAATTTTAAAAATTCTTATTATTTTTGTTTTCTTCTTGAAGGCTTTGCCACACAATGGAATCCGCGTGTACGCCTCTCAGCTTCATACTCACTTGACCGGAAGGAAGGTCTACACAAAACACATCAGGAACGGAATCGAACTTCCGGAACTGAACAGAGATAACCATTACAGCCCACATTTCCAAGAAATCCGCGCGCTTCCTCGCCACGTTCACGTGCTTCCGGTATATTATGCATCATTGTCCTTTATACGATTTGAAAATTGTTCAAAATTTGAGTTTGAATAAATATGGAGTTTTATTTGTTTCAGGGTGATGCTTTGATAACTTCTTGTATTGACAGCACCTTGAACAGATCTGCGATCACGTTGGTAACTACTATGAAATATAAAATGCTAATTCGACTTTTACTTAAGTTTGATGTTACAACCTCTGTTAATCACAATCTATAATTGAAATATTTAAAAACTGAAACATGTAGTTTTCGAAGTTAAAATAGTTCTAGGTATACATATGTGAATTCATCTTTACAGCATTTCTAAATTATCGATGTAGAAAATACCATATACATTAGAAATAAAGATGAATCACTCTTTATTTTAGGGCGGATTTTCTATACAAGAAGAGATGTGTGTGAATTACATTCACTACTATCCACGTTGTAACCTTGAAGTTTGCAAAAGCTCAATATCAGACTGGGCTCTCGATCAGTTCTTCGAGATGGCGAAAGCGTAAGGGAGTCAACTCTTAGAATACGAAGTTTCAAAGCTGATCTACATATTTTTGTCGTTATATTTTTTATATACACTGTACATATTTGTAAAATACCTTAGTTTCCGCAAATAATCATACACAGTTATTTATTTATTCTCCAGAACACGTCGAGCATCATGCACACCAAGCATAGTTGTCAGATGATTAAACTTTTACAAATGTGAAGAAAACATGTTAAGAAATGACATTCACAATAAAAATTTATGTACACATTGATTCATTGTATAAATATATAATGTAGGGTATTATATTTTCATTTTCAGTAGAAATGACATAGAAGATGTTGGTTTGAGGTATCAGTCTGTGGATTGGAATCCTGCAAAAGTGACGTCATTACAGTTACTGTATAAAAATGCACCAATATCCATGCAATGCAACAAGTCAGATGGAAGCCGATTTCCAGTGAGTGAACATTAATTAGAATTGCAAGTCGAACAACTGTTTGAAAAGCATTGGTATTGATACGTTTTGCACATTATATTCTGGGTTGTAATTTTCCTCATGTTTCTTTAGGGTGAATGGAGCAGCGAAGCCATTCCGAGAATAATTCTCCCAAACAGAGAACGATCGAGTTGTTCCAAAGATATATCATGGTTCACGTAGTTAAATTAAGTTGATAATAAATTATTTGAATTTAAATGTTTTTGTAGTTTTTCTTGAAATAAAACTGCTCAAAAATATTATCAATTGCAAAAACATGTTTCTTTTTCGAATTAGGTGAGCCATCTTATGTTCCATGCTATTATTTTCGTTCATTGGTTGTCCTCACAGCTCTTTGGCTAAAACAACATATTCATGAGAACAGAATATTAGGTATTACACAAAAGATTTGAAAAACTGTTGTCTGATTAATTTGGTTACGCGGAACTAATAACTGCACTTTACAATCCTAAAAATATTGCTACCGTACATGTATGTTTAGCCAGAAAAGGCAAGCGTTGCTGTAAAACATAAACGTGAGATTTTTGCCATTTTATAGAGATTTTACATGAAGTATATGTTAATGTTAAATAAAATATCAAAGAAAATTTTGTCATAATTGAGATTTAATTTTGTCGCACAACAGGCATTTGGCTCGCCTTGTTCGCTCATCTTCTTTTTACTGAAAACATGATTATGAGTCCGATTCCATTCAAGGTTCCTCACTTTTCTGTTCACTGTCTCATAAAATTTTACTTTACCGGTTTATAATTTCGAAAATTGAAATCTAATTTATAGTTAAAATGCAGCAATTTCAGAATACCTGCTATGCAAAATTAGATAGAAATGGTCTTGTAGCTTGACAATTTTATATAAAGGGATGATGGTCATTTATTCCAGTGAGAGTTTCGTGTGTCTCTCATATAAAAATAGTTTGTAGTCTTAAAATTTGATTTATCAAAGTCTGCAATTTCTTTTGCTTCGAAAGATCATGACCCATTAGAGCTCGATTTAGGCAGCAACAAAGGTTGTATTATTAATGGGAATATACAAGAATTTTTTTTTTTAATCTTGGGATCTGAGAACGTGGCCAAAAGTTTTTTTTATTTTTATAAGTGCAACCAACTCCATGTATACGCAATACAGTCATGAACATTTGGATTAAGATGGTCAACAATAAAGTTTTACTTATAATCGAAAATTCTTTAGAAGATTTATCTTATAAAAAAGACATAGCCCCGGTAAGTCAAATCAGGAAGTTTTCCCATCCATGGTAGATTTATAAAAGAACAAGTTGTTCGATTCATCCCGCCCCCCCCCCCCTCCTCCTCCACCTTTCACATCCCCAAAGGGCCTAGGATGACGGCGACAACAATGTGAAATTAAAGGATTATATATATGATTATAAATGAAATATCTTGAGCTTCTCAAGAGAGAAAGCAGGGCTACTAAATATTTTAGCCAGGAGATTCATTACAATACATTGTAGTCCAGAATCAAATTTGGTCCTAGCTGCAGATCTAGGGCTCACTGGTGAAAAATTCTGGTTGTCCATCCCATTTTTTTTTCCAGACCAGCGAGCTACAGATCTGCAGCTTAACATGGTTTCAAGAGCCTAGATGGGACAATAGTAGGGGTTGAGGACAGACGATACGTTACTCAATGATTTATAATTTTTTCCAAGATTTTGTCATTGAGGTACTGCTACTTTAATATGTTTACTCACAAAAAAATGAGGTACCTTACCAGGCATTTGTGCAATATACCAGAGGATGGTGTTTCCTATATAATCCTTTTGGAAATAACTTAATTTGTCAATATCAAATTTAAAGACAATTAGAAACTAGTTAAAAAATTATAAGGTAATTATAATTTTGAATATTTTTCATAATTTACGAAGATATACAAAACAGATATTTGAGGAACGTATCGACTGACTTTAAGTCCTATACAGAATTAGAAAAAGGCTACAATTAGAAATTATGTCATCAAGCCTCAAATAATATACTATACATATTAAATTTAAGCTGTCGAAACCAATTATCATTTGCAAGACTGAAAGTTTCAATGCTAAAACTAAATAATACTTGAATTATGTTATGAGTGGATGAGTATCGATACATCATAGCGGGAGTTAGATGGAATCAAAATCTTATCAAGGCATAAACCACAATCTTGCCAGCTCAAAAGAAGATGTACTTCAACCCCCCTCCCCTATTAATTATAGTGAGACTCCCCCCCCCCAGAAGACTGGCTTAACATGGATAGAGGGAGTTCCAAGGGGGGGGGGGGAGAATGGCTATATAGTGACTCCCCCAACAAACAATAGTGAGGCTTTCCCCTTGTGTGTTTTGGATTTTATAAATATCGTTGATCTATGTGTTTGCATAGGATACGCTTACGCTCATTTTGTCAAAATCATTTGCTATTGTGGTAGAACATATTATTTTAAATAATGTGATTGAACAACAGAAAGAATTAATTCAAAAATGTTTGAAAACTGGATTTCCATCATAATGAAATGTAACTAAGATGTATCACGTCTTTCTTTGACAAGTTTAGTTAACACAATTTTGTAAAACTAGACGTTAAGATCCGGGAAAAATATCATATTTGCATGTATTTTAAACACTGAATAACTTATGTAAGCTATATTTTATGAAAAGTTATACATATGAATTAATTAATACTTAATTATTGTTCCCTTTCTAAGGCAAGTTCCAGAAAAGAATGTTTCTTTAAACTGGAAGAAAGAAAGTGTAGATGAACAATTTTCATAAACACTAATTTGGAGGGGGAAGCCTCGCTATAAAGGGGAGGGGATGCTATAAAGCAAGTCTTCCCCCGGAAGAACGTCTGCAAAGTGAAAAAAAATTGAGTCTCCCGGGTGAAATCTCACTACGGGGGAAGTCTCACTATACAACACCCCTGCGAATGTATTTTCTTTTTTTTTCAGTGATTAGCAAATCATAATGCCCGAGAATTCCCAGTAAGCCTGGCGAGACTACAAGGAGACTTCTACGAGACTGCCAATGGGTCATCAGTTTAATTATTCACAGTAATTCATTATTTCCTAGAGGTTTAAAAATGTTTTGAGTCGGGCCATTTTAGCCAGTAGATGGGATCGGGAGATAGCAGCCAGTTAATATTGCCTGTAAACCGTCATGTTATGTTTCACTGAAAAATAAATAGGGTGGTTAAAACAAAATTAGTGTTTACATGTCGAATGTCGGCATAAGCAATAAAAAACTTTTTCAATCTAATTTTTTTATATACAAAGAGAGTGTTCCCAGTCTATGTGCACATTTTCGAAGAAAACTCAATAAAATTTAATCTCATAATACTTGGTTATGCTCAACTTCAGTAACCGAAACAAGATGCCCAAAAGACAAAAGGCTCACTTCTCCTGACAAAAATAAATTCCCCTCAAGACTGAAACTTACACTACATGGGGATCACTACATGGGGATGTTTGTACATTAATTTGTCTAATTAAACCCTAATGCTCTTGAAAAAGATTTAAATCATTTTAACAGGTACTGACAAGTAAAACTTGATCCCCATTTTGTGGCCCCATCCTAGCAAAAAGGACAAATTTGATCCTTTTACTGAGGAAAGCTAAAAATGACAGCACCTTCATATGCAACCAAAAAAAAAAAAGAAAAAAAAAGAAAGAACTCAAAACTTCTGAGATAAAAATCCGTTTTATTTACAAATCCAACAAACTTGGAAATATTTAATAAAATTGACATACCGAATAATAATGTACATAATTTTAAAGGGTAGTGCAACAATTCCCATACCATTAACAAAACGGAGATACAAATGCATTATAGTAAGTGTGGAATATCCTCAACAAAATTTTACTTCATGTAGAATAAGTTAAACACATACATGTAGCTCATCATGCAAAACATTCATACACAGTATTCTGAGAAGAGACATGCTTATGCAATAAATGTATTTAAGTCTCTGTATTCCATGCACAGATTGCAAAGCATTTGTACCATTTAATCCAATACTTATCAATACCGCACTTGACTAAAAAATGAGCAAACTTCACAAATAAAATTTTAAAAATCTCATGAATATTTGGTTACAAAGTCATTCATTTTCATACTGAGAAAAATATTGAATTAACATTATACTAGTTCTTATTACGTGAACTGTAAATGATTTACCACAAGCATGGGAAAAATTAAATTATTGCAACTTTGATAAATCATTCATGTGGGAAACTATTAGATGTTGTAATCAAATGGCTAAAATAGTTCTTGAAAGACTATTCTATTTTACACACGCTGTAATCTATAAAATGTAAAACTAAATGATCACAAAAAAAAAAGTTATCCTCAAACTATTTCAGTTTTATACATATATTTTTGCCATTATCATAAACTACAAATCATTTGGTATGAATACTTTAGCTGACAACTTCTTATCACAAAGATGATCAAGTTTTAATATTTTATTGATTAAAACAAAGAGCATGTATACAATATTGTTTACAAAATCCTGATTCATACACCAGTTTTCTTCTTAATATATTTCTATATTTATCTGTCCAATATAAACTTAAAAATGCAATGCATTATTGTGCATCAGTACAGTTTAATAACACAGGTGTCTACTATAAGTGGTACACACTCTGGTTTTGTAAAGCCAGTTAATGAATATCTACTGATTAATTCATCGGTATATAAAAAAGCACTTGTCTATATTTTGTTATACATGTATATGCAGTAAAAAAAAAATTCAATAGTTTGCAGAACTGGTCTTGCAAACACCAACATCAGATAAAATAAAGTAATTGTGGAACATGAAGCATGTTTGTCCACCATAAAATACTTCCAATACATATTACCAGTAAACAAAATGAGATTCTTCTATATGAGTTGAAGGGGAAATAACCCCTACATTTAATTGAGTGTGCGTAGAGTACAATCCTACAATGACAGGGTAACAAATAAAGAGGGCATATATATAAACTAAAAAATAAATTCAATAAAAAATAGGAAAAAAACTACTATGGCCAGCCATAGATTTAGAATGTAAGCAAGGAAAATACATATGTACCAATTTTAAAAAAATCAAAAACAATAATACAACTGAGAATTTTAACAGTCATAAATTGCACTAACAATGTTATTATACACATTTTCCCCCCAATTTGACTGAAAAATCTGGTATTTATTGCACTTTCACAGAAAACTGAACACCAAACCAAAGAATTTCACCTGGGAGACATTATATATCATTTAAATAACCATGTTAACGAACATAATTTTGCCTGCAAAATCTTGAGGGATGGTCAACTGAACATGGACAGGAACTATGAGGATCGGTAATGATCTTTAAATCAATGAAAGGTGGTCAAATTTAAAACTATAATGTTATGCTTGATGATTTATTTAAAGAATTACATGAGGCTTTGTGAAGAATTAAAACGCAACCTTATACAACCTTTCACTTTCTTCTTTAATGCAAGTACAGTAAAAACTGTCTAATTCGACACCTGTGCAATCTGTTTCACTGTGAATTCCGACCCTGTGTTTGAATCCCATATTACTGTTTTCTTTGTTCTGTACACTGTGTAATCCACCACTCTATCTACTCCGACACAACATTTGTCTCCCAGTGCATATCGTATAAGACAGGCTTCACTGTACTTTCCACTCTCCAAATTTTATCTTAAAATTAACACGTGATGTTGGGAAGAACGTGTTAAACTACAAAGATGCTATAATCATAAATCATGTGATTTTCAGTTCTGTAAAATATGAAAAACTGATATAAAGTTCTATCTATGGCTATATCTGCAAGAACTATTCATATGAATTTAGAAAACCTAGATTCTACTTGTATCTTCTTTTGTAACAAAGGAAGGCATTCACACCACATTTAAACATTGGATGACAAATATATGTCCAGAAAAGATCTGCAACTCTCCACGGTAGATAGTGATCTATCTACATCTTAACAGGGGAAGGTCATCAATGGCACATGACCTTGTAACAAAATAGGGGTCAAAAACACTTTGAATTTTTGTGATCACTGCACTATTTGCAAAATCCCTGGAAGTTTGTTTATTTTATTCCCATGAAGATTGCTGTAATCTATATATCTATAGACTGCTGTTTCATAGGGTATTTTGAATTCCTTGTTGGTGAACCATACGGTTCTCTTGTATCAAAATGTTCATGCTCCTTCCTGTTTGAGTACCGGTCATCACGTCGTGGATCATGCATTTCACCACTATTGTCTCTACGATTGAATTCTCGTGGTGACATCCGATTGTAATCACTACGCTCAAAGTGTCCCGATCTCAAGTCTCGATCATGAAGTTTTTCATGGGAAGGACTTGGGTCTCTATCACTACCACGTATATGGTGTTCATGATCAGCATGTCTCCGAGGTTCACGAAATGAACTATGAACACTGTGACCATGTCCATGGTGCCCATGCCCATGATGTCCAGGGGGCACAGTATTATGCCTGCTAATGGGATTGGGAGAAGGCATCAGTTTTGTCTGCTGTGATGTGTCAACTGGATGAGTTGCTTTCCAGTAAGCCTCTAAGAACTCTGACAAATGTTCACAGGCATCTTCTAATTGATTTTCATCTAGAATTACATCAAACATATCCTGCAAGGGAAAATAAAAGCTTCATATAATGGAATAATAATCATAACATACATAACTTTTTATAGCAACTTTTTTTTCTGATTTTATATCATGTTCATTATATTATTCAACATTACATCTATGAATGACATAACTTAAAATTGTCCCACCCCACTAAAAAAAAAGAAAAAAAAAACTTTTTTCAATATGCAAAATAGATTTTTCAATGAAATGAATACCACTATTCTACTTACAGGACTACATTGGTTCAGTTTGTCAGCAGCTACTAACTGTACATTCATGTTACGACTCTGGGATTTTCCTCTAGATTTGATTAGTCGCTGTAATACCTGTGAAAGAGATAAAAACAGAGATTTTAATGAACCATTTGTCAACAGATATAGTGCATCACATATAATATGAAAATATCAGTTATCTAGATCCTTTGACGGTATAAGAAAAAGGAAAGTTAAAGCTGTGTATAGTAAGGTAAAATTATGTATATATTTTAAAACTTGTAAATGCTATTCTGCAACTTACCTTTGGTGAAGCAATTTTGACATAAACAATAATTGGAGCTAACGATGTTTTTGCTAATTGTGAAGGGTGGTTAATTGTGTCACAGTCTAGAACTACCAACTGCATAGACCTAGCCAAGTCGAAAATTCTCTCTATTTCATTTTGAACTTCTCCTGCAAATCAATAAATGAATTTTCTTCAACATACAATTTCTATTCAAGAAATAAAGTAGAGAAGCATTAACACAATGACATAATCTATTACCTTTTCTTGAAAAAAAAGGGGGGGGGGGGCACTGATTTAACAAAATTCTGAAGATTTATGGTGGAGAAAGTGTATTACATGTACTTTATATAAATTCTTTTCTTCAACTTTGCTGAGGATACTAACCTATTCCACATGAACGACTTTGTTTGTCCAACAGAACTCTTTTACTGGGATTGTTAATTATTGATCGTTTAGCTAATGAGATGTCTGCTGTGACTCTTGTAATGATTATCCTGCAACAGATAAATTCAATGCTATAAAATGACAGATCTTTTACATGAACATCACATTTTTTTCTCTCTCCATTTCAGTGTCTCAAGATACAATAAAAGACTTCTATAACAGGCACAAAATTCGTTAAATTAATTTAAAACTGTCAGCTTTGTGTTTCAACTGAACACACTCGCTGCACAGGAACTCAATTTTTTCTTGTAAGCAATTTTTACTTGATAATGCCCTACTTACCTCCCTTCAAACTTATGTTTGAGGAAATCAAACAGAGCCTTTTGCATCATGTCTGTAACTTCATAACCCTTCAGTGAAGGACCAATCAGAACGACTGGTCGCATGGAAGGCACTACTTCATAAGGTGGCACTGACTCTGACTGAAATTCAACGTAAAGTCAATATCATTAAGAAAATCTCTACGTCATAATTGGCTTACTCAGTTGTCATTATCGAGCATCTCTAGATGAAAAATCATAGTAAACATTTTGAATTAAGTAACATTTTATGTATCCTAAACTACTGTAAATCACTTTTCATTCATGAGAACTTTGTTTTCATGAAATTACACAAGACCGTCTGCTCATGAAAATTTAATTCGTACGTATATTTTTATTAAGAAAGATTATATTCAACAATAACCAGAATTAGTGGGAAAATTTTTACTCTCCCTTATAAATACCACATGACTTTCATGTGAAAAATAAGGTGTCGCAAAAATTTGGTGATCTACAGTACCTTTTTGAAGAATGGTTTTTTCTTCTCTTTGGTTGGAGGGATGATGCCGCCCGCTTTGTAGGCTTTTGTGCTATCACTGTCCTCACCCATAGTGCTGTCTGCCCCATTCTCCTCCGTCATTCCTGATAAATGGGTACAAAACATATAAATTCTCCTTTTAATAATATACCTAAGCTAATTAACATTTACAAAAGACAAATCTTGAATATTTGAAGGTTAAGGTTTTGTGCTGTGTTATTCTTTCAAGAGACAGAGTCAAGAAATTAAATGCATTTTATTTCAAAGCTTTTAGGAACACATGCTGAAGTATTTTTTATTTCAGACCTTTGACATCAGCAAGATTCAATTTATAGCTCTAACATTTGTATATAATTTTCTTATAACAGGTTGAGTTTTGACATGACCCCCTCCCCCTTTTCTTCTGCTATTCCTTCACAGGTCTACATATGTTCAATACATTATTGTAATTTCTCTATCACTTTTGCATAAGTAATAAACAAAGTATTCAAATATTCCTTATCCCATACCATGATGTATTTGATACAAAACAAGAGGCCCATGGGCCACATCGCTCACCTGAGTAACTTTGGCCATGCTGTTCATTACCAGACTTTCCCCCTTGTAATACCTATTGTGGCTCCGCCCTACCCCGGGGGCCATGATTTGAACAATTTAGAATCTACACTACCCCAGGATGCTTCCACATAAGTTTCAGTTTTTCTGGTCCAGTGGTTCTTGAGAAGATTTTTAAAGATTTTTCCTATATATTTCAATGTTTCCCTATTGTGGCCCCGCCCTACCTCCGGGGTCATGATTTGAACAATTTAGAATCTACACTATCCCAGGATGCTTCCACATAAGTTTCAGCTTTTCTGGCTCAGTGGTGCTTGAGAAGAAGATTTTTAAAGATTTTTCCTATATATTTCAATGTAAAACTTGTATTCCCTATTGTGGCCCCGCCCTACCCCCGGGGGTCATGATTTGAACAATTTAGAATCTACACTACCCCAGGATGCTTCCTCATAAGTTTCAGCTTTTCTGGCTCAGTGGTTCTTGAGAAGATTTTTAAAGATTCTTCCTATATATTTCAATGTAAAACTTGTATTCCCTATTGTGGCCCTGCCCTACCCCCGGGGGTCATGATTTGAACAATTTAAAATCTACACTATCCCAGGATGCTTCCACATAAGTTTCAGCTTTTCTGGCACAGTGGTTCTTGAGAAGAAGATTTTTAAAGATTTTTCCTATATATATTTCAATGCAAAACTTGTATTCCCTATTGTGGCCTTGCCCTACCCCCGGGGGTCATGATTTGAACAATTTAGAATCTACAATACCCCAGGATGCTTCCACATAAGTTTCAGCTTTTCTGGCACAGTGGTTCTTGAGAAGAAGATTTTTAAAGATTTTTCCTATATATTTCAATGTAAAACTTGTATTCCCTATTGTGGCCCCGCCCTACCACCGGGGGTCATGATTTTAACAATTTAGAATCTACACTATCCCAGGATGCTTCCACATAAGTTTCAGCTTTTCTGGCTCAGTGGTTCTTGAGAAGAAGATTTTTAAAGATTTTTCCTATATATTTCAATGTAAAACTTGGATTCCCTATTGTGGCCCCGCCCTACCCCCGGGGGTCATGATTTTAACAATTTAGAATCTACACTATCCCAGGATGCTTCCACATAAGTTTCAGCTTTTCTGGCCCAGTGGTTCTTGAGAAGAAGATTTTTTAAATGACCCCACCCTATTTTTGTCTTTTCTTGATTATCTCTCCTTGTAAGGAGACTTGGCCCTTCATTTTTACAATTTAAACTCCCCTTCACCCAAGGGTACTTTGTACCAAGTTTGGTTAAAATTGGCCCAGTGGTTCTTGAGAAGAAGTTGAAAATGTGAAAAGTTTACAGACGGACGGACAGACAGACGGACGGACGACGGACAACGGGTGATCAGAAAAGCTCACTTGAGCTTTCAGCTCAGGTGAGCTAACAAGCTCATAGAAAAGGCAAATTCCATTATTAAAATTGATGTTGACAAGAAGCTATGATGACTAAAATGATATAAGAGTTTTGTATATAACAGTTAAGACATATGATTAGTTAAATGTACAATTGATGTTACAGAACACGAGGCATAAAAATGCATTACTGTCGTTGAAGTTTGCTTTACAAATCACTTTTCATGCTAGCATCCCACTACTTTGTACATCACCTCTGTATGATCATATATGTTCTTATCTAAGGAATGTAGCTTCAAGTTTGAAAATTCACTACTAGGTTGGTATTTCATGTTTACATATATAGTTGCACTTTAAAATAAAACATGCCAGGAGTCTAGCTACATCAGTATAAGTACAACTGTGTACAAACACCTAGAATCCATTTCAAATGTAAATTTATTGTTAAGATAGGCACATGCCGCTACTTTTTGTCTAGAGCTACACATTAACTATTGGTATTCAAACAATTAGCATCCATATCATGTAAAAGCCTACCCATGTCATGTGAAAAGATTCAACCCTCTACCACTTTGTGTGATTTGTAAATTATAACATCAAATAGATTTTTTTTCCAACTTAAAAAAAAAACAACACACAATCTTTTGATGCCTCTTTCAAGCCAAGGGAAAATCTTTTATTATATGTATCACAATGCATATATACCACTATGAACCAATACCTACACTTTCCCTATAAAGCACTCAAATAATTCATTCACCAACCCTTTTAATTTCCATTTTTTTATGAAGCTATCTTGTCAGTTACTGGGATAAATGTGTAATATAGAACTAGTATTTTAAGTCTATGACTGGCCTTGGTGGGAAGAGGTGACATTAATGAACTCATGCTGGTGTTAGCTTGGTTCATACTAAAGACTGGGATATTAGAAAATACATTTACAATGTGTCAATTTTCTGTGCCTTATTCCAAGCATTTGATGGTTCTCTGACATATGCATATACATATACTGACTTGTATCATGGACATACAGTTTATATATGCTTATTACTGAGTAGGGTTTATGTGCCCATAACCCTGCATGGATGGGGTGGGTAAGTGCTGATTACCTGGCGTGGGTGGGGTGGATTCTCGGGAGGAGTTCATACCTGTTCCCTGCCCCAGCATACCTTCCATGGTAGTACTGGAATCATTTCGTCTGAAAAAGAAAACTGGTGTCACTTTGGTCTTGCCAACATGAAATATAATCAATAAAATTAAACAGTGCATGCAAACACACAGCAAACATGGTCCATGGGAAAAAATTAGGAATTATATCAGTAAAAGTAGGAAATTATTAAGAATCACATAATTCACAATCATAATTAGACTACAGTGCTAGGTTTAATGGGAGGATTTGCAAGTAGAACTAGAAGTCATCTAAGAAAATTTTATGGATATAAAACATTTTCTAATTAACAACAAAAGGGTTAATTATTTCCAATATTAGTGCTATGAGAAGAGAAGCAGTTGAAATCTACATCAAACATGTTTCTCTTCTCTGGAACAATACCAAGTGTTCAGGGAGAATTTTTTTTTTGCAAACAACTTGTGCTCAAGTGTTGGTTAAGTGGTGATTAAAAGAGGAACTAATCATCTAATTTTGGTAATCACTACCAGGGATTGAAAAAGGGAGCACCAATTGAGCCATGAGCTGTTTTTCATTGAGATTTTTTTTTCATTTACCTTACATACATTTTACTTTTGGGACCGGATAGGGACTTGAGATTTTCCAGTTTCGCTGGACTAGGAATAAAACAGTCGTCACACCCATCCTTGACCAAGCGTCCAATCCACCAATCATTATTGAATTTCTAAAAATAAATTATAAGCATGTCACTCAGTTTAATTGACATTTTAATCCCCCCCCCCTTTATATATTTTTTTAATGAAAGCTAAGATTATCAATCAGAATACTTCTCCACAACAAAGAAAATTATTGGATTATCAAAACCTAGCTAGAAGACAAAAATGTTGAAGGTGAGACCTATTAGACTTCACGAGTTTATTCTGCTACTTCTGTTTCAGAATGCCATACATGTACTGCTAAGTATACATGGCCAGGAGACAGGTATTTTTTATCATTTATAACCAATATACTGATGAGTGGCTGTATGAAGAAGAGTGAGATATATGGTCAGGGCATAAATTAAACAATGGAACATATGGAAAGAGTCTGCTTCCAGCAGTAAATCACTGGCAAAGGCCCAGAATACACAAATGATAGTCAACTGAAGCCAAGTTATTAATAGACATTCCTGACTTTCCAATTAACCTGAGTGCTACCATTCACATCACCTTGGAAACAGTAAAACAAAACAGATCTTGTCACATCAAGCCTTGAGATCATAGACTGAAAACAGACTTTAGGTCAAAAGTTTGATTTTGAATATCTCAAGTTTTTAACATTATGTGCTTAAAATTTAACAGGTTTGCCTAATATTTAAATTCAAACATATGATGAAAAGTTTGTTTCATTATCGAAATTATTTCAAAAGTTATATGATTTGAAATTTGGCTAAAATCTGTTCTAAATTTATGGCCTGATTTCAGCAAAAATCATAGTAATTTACATACTTCTTTGATGTGCAGGAAGCTTTTCACATCAAATGAGACACAGTGACCTGGGGCTGGACAGTCTCCTCCATCCACGGCTCCATTGAAGGCTACATTTGTTCGCACTGCAAAAGCCACAGGCTTGCTCTGTAAAACAAAATACAACCTCAATTTTTTTTCATTAATTAAGGTAACATATAAAAAAATCAATTTTTTTTAATATAGTCAATATTATGATGTATATTGTGATATTCAGTCACTTTTTCAACAGCTCCGGGATCAAGTACATGTAATATAAGAAGCCATAGAAGATTTCATTTTTTTTAAGGTTATTGTGAAAATGGCAGTATAAAATTGAAAATATTGCACATTTAATATATGTCCAATGTGTAACACTGGTTTACATTAACCTTGATACGCCAGCACAAATTCCTAAGTTATCTAGCATATGGGGTAAACCCCCTATCCTGCTGAGTGCAATACATGGAGTACAGATGTTAATGTGAAACAATAATGGCTACACCATGTATATTAAATCAATGTCTGATTGCCTAATGCCTGATAGTTGATCATGTAGAGCATGTGTTATGTTAAGTGGTAATATGCAGCTCTCTGAAGGTTTCCAGTGCATATGCCTTCTGTACTCTAACATCTACATGGAACATATGCATTACATATTTTATGATCAATTCTAACTCTCGCATTTAGCATTATCTATTTTCAAACATTTCCTCTCCTTAAATCAAATTTTTGTCAGCATACAGTTTATTTCAGTCTACAACAGTTCGTGGCATTACCTAAAATAGAGGTAAAACAAAATAAAAGGTGAGGTGCCACTTTTTTAGTCACGAATATATTCATAATGAATCAACTTTATGAATAAAAAGCAAACATGATATACTGACACATGACCCTCTCCCCCACAATCAGACGGACAGCTTTCACAATATTACCATGAATTTAATATTCTAGATCCAAATATAAAAATTTCATTTTCAAGCTCTTGTAGGAGTTGAAAAAAACCCAAGCAAATTTAATTTAGTCTTAATATCTCAATGCCCAAACAATGTTAATGTGGCCATATTTAGAATCTACCTAAACAAATATGTGCACACAGAATCAATAAGGTGTCCCTAGTGGACCTGTATCTGCATTTATTGAATATTGCGTGTTTACGATGACAAGTGGGGGAGGAAATCTCCTGTTATTGTCTTGACTGTGACAGAATCAATACAGAGACTGATGCATTCACCTTTCTGTAATAAATCAACTCCTGTTGTCACATACAAAATTAGTGCAGGCTTATTTTACTGCTGATTTTCCAATTTTATATCGAATATTGTGTTGTTTGTTCTTGGTAATAATGAAAAAAAAAACATTCTAACTTACATATCCTTCACTTATATTAAACTACCGCACTTGGTCATGTTTTGTAAAAATTAATCATAAAATACTCCTGTTCTTCAAAATTAACATACTTCCTCTGTTTCAGTTTTGGGTGTCCACAAAAATGGTTTAAGTTGCTTGACCCTGAATGAAAAATGTGTATAGGTACAGAAAACCTGATATTGGTCCAGTACATATATATATAATCTTCCTCCTTATGGTTTAAATTTCTCAAATAAGATGTAGTCATCAATGTTTTTTTTTTTTTAGCTACAGTCAAACCTTGTCATCTCGAAATTGATGGGACCGAAAAAAAAACAACAAAAAACAAAAAAACTGAGATATCAAGTGTAAGATACTTAATGTATAACATGTATAAGTGGCTGGGACTTCCAACTCACTTCGACATATGCATGTATCCCAGATATTGATGTTAAAGATACCGAAGTTCCAGTTCCACTGTACTTTATACAACAAGAATGAATCTAAAAGGGCAATTAATAGGTGTCCCAAGCATTGTCAAACCTAAAAATTTGGTTTTGACTTTTGTGCCCAATAATGACAGACTTGTCACAGCCTTTTCCTTTCACAGAAACAAGCAAAGACTGCAAGATCAAGAGGCAGCCTTCTAAGGTGTCAGGGCTCTACATTAATGATGTCTGCTTGCCCAATACCACTGAAATTTTTGTTAGACAAGTGAATATTCAATTGTTGGGCATTTGTCCAATTGGAGAGGTAATTTTTCTGCACAGAATTTCTTTTTTTTAAACTGAAAATGAAAAAAATAAAACCTGTTGTCAACTAAATGTATCTGAAGTTCATGCAGTTGCATGAATAATTAACTGATCCTGATCGTATAATGAATTTCGATCTTGATCATCAAACTGAATCAAGATAAAAGTTTATTATGGAGGCATTACTTTCGATTTTGAACTTCGATTAGTTGCATGGATCTGACAAAGTTTGCATTTTCAGTATTGGGTAGTAAAGCTGTACACATAACAAATGAAGACAAGGGTAATAAATAGAGAAGAAAAAGGCAAATTAATGTTTGATGTTGCACTATTTCATTTTATAATTTTTCTATTATTTCAATTTAACATAAACTACTTATGTACCGGACAGGAAGAAACAACTGTGTTTCGATTGTAATTTGCTATGTGTCAGAATAATCACAAAGCAGGCTCAGTGAATATAATGTACTAGACTCTATTTCAATTTACAATACTTTTCAAGTTGTCAAACAGTTCTTTATTGAAACAATTTTGGACAAGTAAGAAAAAACGTTAATGTAGAACTCTGAGTGTCCACAACGTAAACTGATTATACCTTATATACTGCATTTAACTTTGTTTAAAGTAAGCCATCCACATTTTATTTTACCTCAATGGATTATTTTTACTTGCTTGATTGTTCTGATGATGACTGTCCTTGGTCAAAATCAGTCATTACAAAATAAATCTACTTTTGTATTCTCTGTATGATCTGTAGGTGATCTATTATGTGTGTCTCTATATATATAAGTTAACAACTTAAGACCCAGACCCTACTGAATACCACACATGAGAATCTTCCACAAATTTAACCTTGTTAAGGTGTTGGTCTTTGCTTTGTAATTTAAAAGTTCTATGCATCACAGCATATTTCCTACAATTTTACTAGGACTAAGAATCAAATTAACAAAGAACGGGACTGAAATGTTAAATGGAACTCCTATATGTTATCCACATAAAAAGGAACTAAGAATAAATATTGTATATTCCCTACAATTAATTTTGCTCTGATGGGATATAACCACATCAAGTTTCATACATAATAAAATGCATTTCCTTAATTGTCTGATGTCTGGGCATCAGACAGTATCAATATTTGTTTGATATTTGTTGTGATAACTCATCTTGGAAACTTCATACACTGGGGAGTGGGTGGTGCTTAACACCAAAACAAGACCAGAGCATTGGATGTTTAAACAAAATTAATCTTGCTATCATTATCATCACATTATCCACTACATGTTAGGTAACATTTTAGCCATTCTTGACATGGCAATGTATTTTAGGCCAGCAGAACAGCAGGAATGAAGCTGGTCAGGTCAACACTTGTGAAATATCCTTATCAGATAACTAATTGATGTTTATTTTCAATGCATACTAAGCCTCTCTGTCTTCAGAATTTGCCTCTTATTGGTTCTACATATATTAATACCTGAATTTGCAGACATGTATAATTCAATGTACAAAAAAGAAATACCGAAGTGAAACTTTGGTTAAAGTTCTCTCATCATGCTTATCAAATTGCCAAAATGTCAGCTTATTTGTAAACAAGTTCACTTTTTTCAAAACTATGATAATGATCCAAACTTTTTATCCATTTATGTTTGGATCTTTTTTTTTATGTTATGTTTTTATTTTAAAAGCACCAAATATATCCTTGCTTTAAAAAAAATGTATAGAATATACAAAAGTCAGAGTTTCATTTTCATGTTGATGACATTGGGTCGAACTCTTTGCAAAGGAATTAATTTCTGGACTCGGATTTATGTCGATTACACTGGATTCTTTAGCATGATAATTGATTTGCTCACGTCAGACAAGCTTTTTAAGAAAGCTAATAGTTGTGATACTCTAAGAATGAAGGGAAACAGGCTGGTAATCTAAGCCCGTGCAATCTCTCCCCTTCCTCCTCAGATCAAAGTTCCAAATAAACATAAGCTATTCAAAAATACAGGAATTATCAATGAGATGGAATTCAGCGGAGTAAGAGGATGCACTAACATGGCCCCCCTGCCACGATCTATATCAACTGACAACAGGTGCTTTGTAATATACAAAATGGCAACATCTAACACATTCAAGTGCAAACCCATCAATTTTTTTTATTAACTGAGCCTTTTTTTTTTTACTTATGTGTGAAAGATGTTTTGAAAGAACATTTATCTTTTGTGATCTAATATTAGTGCCTCTCAAACACTGCTAATTTATCATTATACCTTTGCTTTTTGCAACTGTTCTAAGGCAAGTCTTTTAGTCTCTGCTTGCAGTGCACTTCGTTCCTCATTTTCGGAAGCATCTGGTGTTGTTTGGCTGATCGAGTCTGCAGATTCCTGGAAAAGAAGTAAAGTTACTCAGTCATTTATTGGATTTAAAAGACAACAGTACAAACAACCAGAAGCATTTCAAATTGTCATCAACACCGAATAAAAACATGGTTATAATGAAATAGTAATTAAATCCAAAACAGTGCATTCCAACAGTACTCTATGGCATTAATGTATATTCAATGCCCTCCAAATTGCACATGCACATTAAATTGTCCTCACCATGCACTTACCAAGGAAATGGAGGATGAACTAAGTAAGAGATTGTATTGTTCCTGTGACTGGCTTCCTACAGCCACCATGATCTCAAAATACTGTCTTGTTAGACCTCACCAACTGATCTTATAAACCAATAACCACTTCATTTGCACAAACTAAGTCTGTGTTTCCAATCATATTTTTTGATATATGACCGATGCCTGGTTTAGACTTCCGAGATGACACACTTTCTAGGAAGCGAGTTAATCTGAAACCTTAGTTCAAATCAATATCCATGCATACTCGATAACTAAGGTCCTGGAGTAAGAGTCAGTAGGATAGAGATATCACCAAGTCTCTAATGATCTCCTGAAGAACTACCATTAAATAAACTCTCCAGTTCCTAAGCAATTAAATAATTTGGGCCACAGAGTTGTTTTGTCAAAGCTAGAAATGTCTAAACTAAATTATGACCTATCATCCTGCTCCAGCTGAATTTTGTATTTGGAAAAAAAAAGATATCTGTCACATGACCAGGCATCAATATGGCTTCTGATAGAAAAACAACAAATGTCTGTACTGAAACAAGGGAAGCTTTGCAGCAATACCGCATGCACTACTGCATTATGGCCTGAAAAATCAATATGTCTGTGACTGCCCTACTCTCTTAGTGATCAATACCTACTAAAAGGAGCAATTACTCATACCTATGTACTGACAAAGAGATTCACCCTAATTTCATCGAAGGATAAGCAATTATGTCAAAAGAAACTAACAGAAGGCAGAAGATCCCAAGCACATAGCTTACTAAGGCAATAAAGATAGACTACAAGGTTTGATTTCAGTTTGATTAACTCCTATGAATATTTTATAAATCTGCTCCTTGTGTAATAGCTTGGAATCAATAATTCACAAATGTGTGTCACTGCTACTACCATATGAAACAAAACACTTCCCAACTGATAATGCTAAATTTCCCTACACCATAAATTATACGATGTCATAATGCCAAAAATGCAAACTGCCAGTTTTCCATTCAATGGCAAAAGCTTCTATTTAATGGCCATTGCAATTCAAATTCAGACAAAAAAGAAAAAAATGCATTGTGATATTCTGAAGATAAAAAAAAACATTCATAAATAATTTTCAGTCTGATCTTGATGGATGGAGTGCATCCCATCTTAATGATATGCCAATCAATTCTGAGAGCTTCTGCATTTCATTCAAGGAGTGCAAACTCTCCTGTCTGCAGTCTTATACATGACTGCAGGATAGGCTGTCAGCCAGGAGCCTGTGAAAGGCAACGATTTCTTTCATGCTTCTGAATGAGATGCTGATGAGATATGGAGACATAAACAATCTTTCTTATAAAGCAGACTGGCAGTCATGTCTTAATCCAGCCTTTTCTGGAAAGCAATAAACAATCCTCCTTCAGTGGAAAAACAAAACATCACGTCACAAAAATAATCTACAGCGTATGGTTCCGTTTGCTCATCATGTCAACAACAAATTCAACAATATCATCTATGCCATAAATAGCTATACTTTGTTAAATCAATACAAAATTCTGTTTCTGTGAGAAAAAGATTTTTTTTTATTGCTTTTGGGAAAATGTGTTAATCAATCTGGTTACCATGCATATTGTGAAAGTTCAACATAAAATTATAAATGTGACCACTAATTCAGTAATTCAAAATTTTTTTCGCAGCATAACGTAGGGTTGGAGTGTTTCAATCAACACATAAGATCTTCAGAGGGTTTTTTTTATATATAAAGTTATATTACTTGTGTGAATAATCTGGGACATTTTCTAAAATGGATTTTTGTCTAATGTCATGTAACATTTCACACTGTGCACTAATCTTGGAGCATTCTCAAGAAAATGCACAAAAATACATCAAATAACTGCTTATATGAATTGAACAATGCATATCAGCAATCTCAGGATTGTAATACCTTAGGCATTAATTTATTTCATTCACAACATCTTTAACCTTATCCTTGCACTTGACCTACACCTCTGACCTTTTCTTCTGCCCACCTCTTCAGCAACATTAATAAATTAAAATTTGGTACTGTTTAAACACTGTCAAAACCTATCACTTCTTCCACCTTGATCTTTGACCTTTTCATCAAAATTTCTTTTTCCTCTGACTACTTAGTAACGTGGCAAGTATGAGACAGAAACTTAAGCTCTGTTAATAACACATATACAAGTTGACATTATACTATCTCCTGGGTAGTTTGAAAAGAAATTATCCTGTCAAAAGTACTTCATCATAATGATAATAATGATTCTGCATCTGGAAAAAATGTTTGACTTTTTACTGAAGCCGTTCCCTAGATTACAGAATATGCTCTCATTTACAAAATGCAATACCATTGATGTAATAAGAATAAACATTATACAATGGCTAACAATGTATAATCTGCAAAATACAACCAATCCATAAAAACTTCTCTGATAATCTTTAAGTAAATTTCCAGTGAAAATATTACCATCAAGGAATCTACATCACTATTGTGTTTCCTGATTCGACCCATCAGGAAAAGTTCTTCATTGGATACCAGCTTCCTATTGCACAATCATTCTTTATCCAGCTTAGGGTATCCACAACCATTGATCATGTGTAGATATATTATCAGTTCAAACCCTTCATCACCAGGGTCACTAACATTCCATCAAAATATGAGTATAAAATCCAAATTGCCAATTGTTGACATGCAGGACATGCCTACCACTGCCTTGAGCTTATCTACAATCATCTATTTCAACTTGCATTCATCATTAATCCAAACAAGATGATTTCAAAATTCAGTAAAAACAAAGTAATAATGAACAGAAATAATGGATGCTCCAAAATGGCTTCTGAATCTATGCTTAAATGCAAATTTCAATACAATATGGAGGCCTGTGTTCAGCAGCAATGGAAAAATCAATAAATACTATATTTCATGGACAAAAATTCTACAAATGTACCTCCAAGTATGGAGAGTTCCAATAAACTTGAATGTTTGTGTGATAATTTATGGGGAATGCTTCATACTGAAGTAGAAAACTTTCAATCCCAATGTAAACAAAACCTCAATCTCATAAAACATGAAAGTGATAAGCCTTGTTTAAAGGGTTTAAAAACTCAAAGCATGACAAGAAAAGAACAGGGCTTAAAACCTATTTGTATTGTAAAGTTTCATCATTCAGAACAACTAATTTGCTTCATATATGACTATAAAAATGTTAAAGCTGAACATGACTCATAAATAGGCATACGCCATATTAAACTTTCTATCGCCAATATCAGCACTGGGGTATATCCTTCGCATTCGTTACACCTGACTGCTTCATTGTCATGGGTAATGGCGTGGAATGGATGACATGTGTTCATGCTGATTATCTTGCATTACCTTTGTTTACATTTTATTGCAGTTTACGTGTATTTGTGTTTGTATACTGCACTGACCTGTGTAATTCAAGATTCCTCCGACTCTAACCCCTGCTTTTATATTTTGACAATAAAAGCAGGGGTTAGAGTCAGAGGAATCTAGGATTATGACCTGTGCAACTGTTTAAAGTTTGTTTGGTATCTTTCTCTCTTGTCGTGGAAGAAGTGCAGTTATTTTTTGTCGCTACAGAGTGTTTTACAATAGCTATGTAGCATACATCCATCTACACAGGTGACAACTGATTACACTGAACAGTGACTAAGTGAACAGCTTATATAGTCAATACAATGTATATCAGTTATCTTTCCATTTATAACTTTATCCATATATATATATAGATTGAATTCGTAACAATTGATCAACTGTCAAGCCATTGAAAAATTCATATTTATCTTTTAACCCAGAAAACTAAATGTGTGTACAGTTACCAACTAAGTGTTAGAGGGCATCATTTGACCTTTTTATCAATAGTTTTCTATAAACGTTCAATGCACAAATTCCATATAAATTTTTGTCTGACTTAAGCTGTTTATTTTTTCTGATTAACTAGGGCTGTATCAATATATCGATATTTAAGAATGTATCATATTGAAAAAATAACTTCCAATACGTATCGGACAGGAAGATTTTCTCATAATTCTGTGAAAAAGTTGGGAATTTCAATCACCAAAGGTTATATTTTCACCGTTTTGAATTAAAATTGATCAATAATGATATAATCATTAAGGAGATAGCACATCTTAGATAAATATTACAAAATACATAGACAACTTTATTTTTACATGTTGTTTTACAGTCATTAAAAGTTTGAATTTGATGTGTAATCTGTAGAGATAATGAGACAAGACCTTCAAAATGGATTATAAAACAATTAGTTTTTATAAAATTCATGCATTTAATGATTTAGAAGACTCTTTTGATAGACTTGTTCAAGAATCCAATATATCGGATATCACATTATAAAATATTGTATTGTATCGTATCGAATTTTTTTGCTCAATACACAGCCCTAGAATTAACATTATTGCACACATTAAACAAAATAGAAAATTTCTATTCTAAACAAAATGGTGTCACGTACATGAAAGACTTTAAAGTTAACAGTGTAAAATATATGCCCATGAATAATCCATAACTCCTAATCATGCAAAATGCAGTTATGTAATTTGGATGGACTCTAATGGTGTTACCATTGTTGTTTATAAAGCAAGGAACAAATCCATAATTTAAAGTTTTTAAAACTTGTCTTTAAACAATAACATCAACTTGTTATGAAAATGATATGAAAATTAATTGCACTAATTAACAGTTTTATTTAGTTGGCAGGAAATCGAAAATGTCAAATAATTTACTACACCAAACCA